TTCTGGAAAAAAATTCATTTTGTACCCTTTGTATGTTCAGAATGTAGCATTATCAAAAACCCTCAAAAAAAAAAAAAAAGTCTTAAGCACAGAAAAAACCCTACAAGGATGGAAGAAAGCCCTTCCAGGAGCCATACAGTTGTTAAATGAAAATCCCAGTGCCAGAGGTGGGTTGCCTCCCTACGAGCTGTTGGCCAGAGGGATCCTGGAGGTCCCCCAAACAATAATGGCCATTTCCAGTAATGTTGGTTGTACACTGGAAGTGGATGGTAAAACCCCATTACTGAAGGCACCATATGATGTGAGCACGGGAAAGGGAGAAATCAAGCTTGGACTAAGTTGGAAACTCCCTGCCACTGGATGGGTGGCTTTCACAGTGCCAGAAGGCAACATGTAGATGGCTGAGGGAGAACTGTCCCTTATAATTCTGCTGAATGACAGACCCCATGTGTTGCACTATCAAAACATGCCAATAGATGTTCCTGCTGGTGCAATAGTGGAGCACCTAGTGTATGTACAACCAGCAAATTTTTGATTGGATATAATGCCCACTCCTAGAGGTGGAACACACATCTGGTACTGTAGACCAGGTCAACCCCTGTGACAGGAGAGGATATAAGCTCCAGTGAGGAAGCCACTGCAATTATTTTGTTAGGTGGATATGATACATCTGCTAAAGTACCATCCAAGCATTTGTGTTTACGCCCATAGGTGAAGTTATTATGGCAGCCACTGTTTAGATGTTCTTGCTTCTTGCTGCTTGTCTTTTTGTAGTAGATGGACTCCCACTGAAATGGGCCAACAGACCATGGAAAACAGATGATGCAGAGACCTGAAAGTTCAGTGCCTTTCCACAGTGGGAGAAAGATCATCTCACACCCCCCCTTCCAAGGCTCAGGGACATTTTCAGAAGAGGTTGGCAGAAAGAATGTAAGAGCCAGAGGAAGGGGTGAAGTGTTGCCTGGAAGTGTAACACCTTCCCACACTCATCAAGGAGTCAGTGGGGGAGTCAGTTACTTGTCCCATCCAATTAGTCGACCTTAGCTGCATGTGGGGGAGGGGTTAAGGATACATAAGCCAAGAATGCCATGAGGCACCTCTCTTGCCATTTTGTGTGGCTGTCAGGAAGTCACAGGATCTATATTTGAGTGTGGACTTTTCAGCACAGCCATAAATAGGGGGCACCCACTCTTCTGTAAATAAACCTCCACCCTATGTTCTTTTAGCAAGCTCAATAAACTTGTTAGGATTTTCAAAAAAAAAGAACAGAGCTAATGGAAACCTTCATTATTCCACCTAAGTTGACCCCATGTTGGCAAATCTTTTGGTCTTTGATTTCCTATTCCCCCCCCCTTA